CCCGGGCCGGCCCAAATCTGATTAATTTAGAGGCACATATACAACTGAGGAAAATGAAAGCTTAATAGAACTGATGGTTCATATCTGTTTATCTGGCATTAACGGATTGGTAATAATAAAATCTGATTAATTCAGAGGCACGCATACAACTGAGGAAAATGAAAGCAGGCGTATGATTACCAATCATCCATTAATATTAGTGATTAGTCCATCTTGTTTCTGCTGAAAGGCCACATAGATTTTAAAAACAACAAAAACGATGAAACTATTTTCCAGGATTAACTGTTGAGATGAAGGACAAGTGAAAGTAGATTTGAGAAGAAACTTTAGTGCCTCTAAAAGGATTTGTAGACTCCAAGTAAATGAAGAAGTTCTAAGTGGTGAGGTGATTCATTTACGAGCTATTTATCAACCAAATAAAACCTACGATTCTTCAACTTCTAGTCCTCACCTGGCACTCTAAGGCCTTAGTGGTTTCGTTTGACCCACAAAGGCTCATTTTACAGATGCTTCACAGAAACTTAACATTGCAGGAATTGCAATTTGGGATAAATGAAACTAAACTCACAGGCAATGGCTGAAAATTTCAGGACATCTTTGGTTTTTTTAATAAGAGGACTACAATAAATATTCAATAATTCATTCAAACTTATTCAAATGTTTTCCTTAAGTGAGATCTAGAAAAAGCAAAGTGCACAGAACTCATGTCTTGAAATAAGGGCATGGGTATTCTTCAGAGTTTGGGAATTTTTAATATTTAGCCTTACTTATCATAGTAGTCTTTCAGATTAAATGAATTATGCTGTTCTTTCCCATTTTGTTTCTAGATGAAGAAAAGGAAATAAAGAGAAACAAAAACAAGAACCAGAAAGAGAGGGAAAGAGGAACAAATGGAGAGATCTCACAGGAGCTAACATTTTAAGCAATTGAAATGGCTTAATTTCAATTAAAATTTAATTCAGTATGCGTGCAACAATTGGAAGAAGTTGGGCTGGTGGCTCAGTGCCAGCTGCTTGCTATAAAGTGAGCACAGCACAGCTATAGGACATTGGTGCCAGCTCTTGAAGATGACCTATCTGTAACTAGTTGACTTGATAAATGGAGGGGGAAAAAAGTACTATGTAGAACTTATCTTTTAAATTGAGATGCTTTTTGAAGGTGCTGATTTTTAAGACAAAATTAATTCACATATCAAGAGAATACTGGGCACTATATAAACAAATTAAAAAAAAACCCAAAACTCACAAAAGTTAACACCATAGAATCCTTTGTTTCAGAACACTTTACTATTATTTTTTACTATATTTTCTATATTCAGGCTTAACTAATCTTAAAGTCACTGACTCACCAAAACACACACAATAGTCACAAAACTTAGTAACTCCTAGTTACTAAGCATTTGTATTTTTGTCTCAGTTCAACCAGTTAAAGGATTTTACTGATTTTGATTAAATGTGGTATATACTGCTAATCTTTGTCAACTTTAATGTCAATTTGTGCAGCAAAATTTTAAAAACAAAATAGCACCCATGAAAAGATTTCAAACACAACTTTTATAATTCTTAATATTTTAATAATACGGTTTATAAATAGAGTTTATACTGATAACAGGTTTAGAAAAACATTCACTAACATTTTTCCTAATTCAGTTCTTAACAGCCTCAACAGGATTAGCTCACTTTGGTGAGCGTGGTGCTGACAACACCAAATCAAGGGTTAAGATCCCCTTACCAGTCATCTTTTGGAAAAACAAAAACAAACAAAAAAAAACAATAGCTCTGTCCAACATGAACTAGGTAATATCTTCCTAAGAGCCTGTAGTTTAACTCTTACTATCCCAAGGATTATTTCTACATTCATATGAATAACTATAGTGGTTACTGGAAGACTTCATGGCTTATTTTCAATAAATTTTTTTTTCTGCTGTACCGTACAAAAAAAAAAAGATATGTAGCAGTGAAGTTCTCCCTCTCTGTCTCAAAACCATAAAAGTTTATCCCTACAGGTATGTGACAACCTATGGCCACACTCAGCTATATCCAGTCAGTGTCTCAGTGTGTCTGTCTATCTGTCCATCTCCATCTCTCTCTGTCTCTCTCTCTCGACTGTTCTTATACTTTCTCTTTCCCTTGCCTACCTCTCAAGCTTATCTGTGGCATTGAAAGGTATTAGATCTAACTGTGCTCTAAAGATGTAACCTGATTTAGGAACTTCTGGGCATAATGAAGATAGTGTAAGTCTTCAAATAAAGACCTTGATCACTGCCACTAACCTGTTAGCCAGAAAGCCTCTACGACAATAAAGCCTGTGTGTGTGATAAAATTATCACTGTCACTGAAGAAATGTTAGTATACTTTTCCCTTCCTTTTCCCAAATTTAAATGAGGTAACTGACCCCAAGAAAATGAGGGAGCTTGCCCAAGGTGCCCATGAAATTGATGAGAGGTTTCTTTCCATACAGAATCAGATCTCTACTCCTGATACTTTCTACTACATCATGGTTACTCCCCACTTGATGACATGCAACAACATCTTTAACTATGTCCCCAATTTTAATACTTTCACCTATCTGAAGCTTTTGTTCAAATGGCAGTTGATGTAATTCTAAATTCTTTCTGAAGCCTGGATACTTTTTTTTTTTTTTTTAATCTAAAAGCTCTTTTAATATAACTGCAGCATGAACAGAAAATTAGGTTTGGAAATGACTCCCACTAAAGCATTCAGGCTGCACTGGCAGGCAAGTAATGTTAGGTTGTTCAAAGCCTCACTAGGGGCACGTAAATACCAGCATAATCATTAACACCAACTGAGACTCAAAGAGAACGTGTCATACAGTGTCAGAGCTAGAAATGAGCTTTCTTATGGATGAAATGTCATGTAACAGTCATTTTTTTCAGAGCATAAAGTGGGCTTCTAAATAGCTCTCAGGGGAGTTCTAGTGCTCTCCACTGGTTTGCTCTGGAATCAGTACTTTTCATTGAGTAATTAGGCAATTATCAAGAAAAGAAAGAAAATAAGTACTATAGGCATTTTCTCCCCCACAGGTTTCTAAAAAGAGTCACACAATGTTTTAAAATTAAGAATATATTGTGAGAGGTACTTTTTTTTTTACTATAGGATGTTTTATTCCTCTGTGAAAATTTTATTTTATACTTTTTTTTTTTGAGTCAATGTTCCCTCTATTGGGGTACCTTCTCTGAAATTTTGTTCAAGACTGTAAGTGTGTAAACTCATAGAAAAGCTTTGCAAGGATAAAGACCGAATATAACACCAGTTATCTCTCTGAAGGGGACGTTAATGACCAGGGGCTGTGGGTGGAAGGGACTCATTCTCATGTACTACTTGTATACTTTTAGTTGCCCCTTAAGAAGCATTTTTTAGAGGTACTGGAGACCTAAGATTCTAAAGAAAACAAAAAAATATAGGCTTCAATTTTAAGTGCTCTCTGTTGTTAATTTTACACAAAGCCCTAGGAAATAAGCATACATCTTTGATATTTTCTAATTATGAGACTCTGAACGCCTCATTCCCATGCATCATCTTCTGTATGTGGAGTACATTAGTCTTAAACATATACAAATCTTTAAGTATCAGTCAACTTACAAAAATAATGTCTTAAAAAGTCTGTAAAGGAAAGAAACACATGACTTTGAAACAGCCATGATGGGTTTACATCCTTTTCTAAACCAGATTCCCATCATTTATGGCACTCTTACTGGTATGTACCACAATCAAGCACTGTATTAAGCTATTCAAAAAGGCTTTTTCAGAGCATGGCAGTTAACTCACTTGCTCCAAGCCAAAAATGGAATAGGAGAAATCTATGTATTTTAGGACACAGTAAGGAAAAAAAAAAATGAAATATTACCATTCACAGCAAAATGGATGGACTTAGAGAAAATTATATTAAGAGAAACAGGTCAGGCACAGAAAGAAAAATACTGCTTGTTCCTACTTATTTGTGGGAGCTAATAAAAATAAACATAAAAACAAATGGTGGGATTGGGGGGAAGAAGACACAACAATCACAACAATTCCTTGAACTTGTTAAGACAAGTGAACAGATACATGTTGATGGGGGGAAAGGGGGAAGTGAGGGAGGAAAAGGAGGAATTGGTAAAGGGACATGAAAATCAACTACATTGTATATTGATAAATTAAAATAAAATTTAAAAAAATAAATAAAATAAACCAGGAAAAAAAAAAAGTTCCTTAATAAAAAAGAGCTTCCTACTCATCGGGCTCTTCTTAGCCCTCTCCACTCTGTTCTACAGAGAGAATGCTACAAACAACTTTTCAACTAGCAAGAACAATCACAGGGCTATGAATAATTGTTCTTATTTTATAATTACATTTAACCAAATATGATTAAAATCATTTTATAGAAAACTATTATTCTCTGAAAAGTAAATTAAATAGAATGTAACCGTATTCAACCTTCTAAAAACCCCCATCTTCTTTAAAGATCCAAATTATATAGGTCACATGTTTAGCACATTTGAGACTAAGATGTCTGCTTACAAGTTCTTTATAGCTCCATGTTTACACTGGAAAGTTCAAAGATTTCACTTCATCCACAATAAAAACTTAGCCCCTGTTGCTGCTCATGAAATTTAAGGTAAACATACACTAAGTTACTAAAAAGACTGAGTGACCAAATGTGATTTACTGACATTGTGAGTTGTCCATAATAATTATACAAGTTAAATTGCCCGTAAAACTACAGAACTTTAATACAACATATTTCCTTTAGAGAATATATGCAGTCAAAGTGAGGGATGGAGAAAGGATCGAACTGAAATGTCAATAAAGTACATACTCTCAACTTAAGTTGATCCAAACTGCAACCATGTCTTACCTTTTCAGGTCAACGGTTGTGACACTAAATACAACTCCTTTGAGCCAAAGAATCATGAAGAGCCTCTGGGAAAAGGGGCAGTTTCCTATGCTTTCACCATCACTGCCAGCCTGGGAAACAGAATTAAAGATTAAAAACAACGCCAAAGTGATGATACTCAAAATGACAGACCTTTTTCTGAATTTTAATCAAGGGTGCAAAAAAACAGGAAAAGTTGCATTGTGGAAGGAACAGTGGAAATCCAGGTCATTGTTATTTTGCTCTTTCATTTGCCTCTTTCTTGTCTTAGAAATGACCTAATACAGCACTGTCCAAGAAAATTTTCTGCAGTGATGGACAGGATTTATAGTACCACTGTCCAATGCGGTAGCCACTAGCAAAATCTAGCTAGTAAGAACTTAAAATGTGTCTAGTTCAACTGAACTTAATTTTTATTTAATTTACTTTTAATCAATTTAAATTTAAATAGCCACATGTGGCTAATGGCTGATATGTTGGACACAGCATCAATCCCTAGGGAGTAGACATAACCATGCCTCAAGGCAAAGACTAAGTCTGTCATGGGTTTTTAGAAAGTTCCTCACAGTTCTTCAAGCTCCATGTTTACACTGGAAAGTTTAAAGATTTCCCTGTATCCACACTAAAATTTAAATATATTAATTATAAATATCCCATATCCTGCTTTACAAATTCTTTCAGGGAGTAGGAAAATAAAAGATGTCTTTATTATAAACTATTTCTAATCCTACTTAATGAATGGAGCAGTTGACTTCCCTGAGCTCAATAATGATATAGAATTTTCCTAAAAATCAGAGTGAAACAAATCTTCTTTAATTCTATCATGTATTTCCCAAATTTAAAAAGGAGAGAAGGGGAGAATGAAATGGGGTGAGGGGAAGGAGAGAGAGCGAGCACACTGGTGGTGAACGTTCTGACATTGCTAGGGATCAAAACAGCCTCTTCACCATGAAGTCTATGGAGAGTGCCTGAGGTAACTCTTCAAGTCATTCAAAGAACTGGTAAAAGTACTGTTTATTATCCTAAAGTAACTATCAAAAAATTAAGAAGCATTTCAGTAAAATGCTACATCGGTAAATAGTGATTAATTCCTAAACTAATGGGGAGGTAGAAGGAGTACAAAGAAGAAAAACAGAACAAAAACATGGGCACATAAGGAGGATCCCAGAGCCTACCCTAATCAGACAACATGGGAGCGTTACAACCAAGCTTGGTTTAAAAAACCAAAATTACTATTCTTTATCAGAAACAAAGCATACACAGAATTTGTAGCCAAAGTGAATCATATTAGTTCCTAATACTGCAACTTGTACAAAAATTTACTTCCTAAAGAAAGCCTAGTTAAACTTTAATGTGATCAAGAATAAAACAAAATAAAATAAAAATTAAGAAAACATTTAAAATGAAGATTACTGGGCCTCACATCCAGGGATTCTGATTCAGTAGAACCCACATTCTGTCATAGGCACCAGAGATCCCAAAGTAAGGCATCTGCTAGATACACTGAGAAACACTGGTGTGGGAAGGTTAGGATGATATTCCTTCCTCAGAGCACAAGTCGGTTTACAGGACTAAATCATCCCACTATATAACAAACTGGTGCTCAACGCTGACTTTTTGAACATGTTGACCATCCATTCACAGCATGCAACACTAATAACACACAAGTGAGTTTACTACAGATAAGAAAAAGTTAACAACTAACCTTTCCATATATTTTGATGATGACTGTTTTCACACCAGACTGTGTCTTTAGATACTCAAATTTTATTATCATTGTTGTTTTGTTTTTTTCCCTCTCCTAACAGACATATAAATACAAGAAAAAGTATCCCAAATTTGAGACTTACTGAAAAAAAAAACAGTGAAGTTGGGTAGACAAAGAACTAGTCTGACTCAAGGTCTTCATCCTGTTTCATTTATTTAACCTACAAAATTAGCAGTAATTTCCCAAACTGCCTGTCACAGCAGTGTTAAAATCATTAAATTGGTAAAGAAGGTGTAATGAAGATGTTACATGTAGGCACTTGGAAACATTAAACTAAAGGCACGCTGGAGATGAGCAAGGACCCGTTACAGATCAAAACCACCACACAATAACCTCCTATAATGGTCTGCAGGGCATATCCTCCAGCACAAACAGAAGAATCTTGGGACATGGACTAGCTCATGAAAACCCGGTCAGGTTGCAAATGCCTATTTGCTTTCACAGCTAACTGCCTCCTTTGTCTATAATTTTCTAGCAAATTTTCCCAATTTACTTCTCTTTCAGGTATATCAGAAGCTTGTTACACATCTCACACTCTTCATATAACTACTTTCCTTCATGCACACACAAATAAAAGCATGCACACTCTTCCAGATAGATCTGAAAAAATGCCTTTTTTAATAATTACTCTCCCAAAACTCATGACAAGTCAATAAGAAATATCATCATGAACAAGTTTTCCAAGTTTTAATAGCATGAGAAAATTGGGAGCTATTAGTCAGATGATGTTCTTAAAAAGTATAGTAAAATTATGAAATTCAGATTTCTAGACTTCACAAGTAAAAAACTTCGTCCATTAATCCAAGTTGTACTATAAAATTCCATTTCAGTAAAGTTACAGAATCAAAATTACTCTGTTTAGTATGAGCTACATTGAATACTACATTTAATCTATTGAATATATTTAGTATGAACTACACTGAACTACACTGAATCCATTGGTACAATTGACTGAGGAATTGTGGTATAGTGCAAAGCATACTATACCAGGAGTCAGGATGCCTTTATTTTCCATCCAAATTTGTAGTAATAACAAAAATTAACAGGTAGGTATGCAACAGCAGCATCTAAGTATGGCTTTAATATTTCATACATATTTCCATGTTTTGATGGCATCCATCTAAATGCCATTTTTTAAGGCTTCATTGCATGCTACTGACCCAACAATTTTACATCTAGAAGTTTATTCTGTAGACACACTTTTACAGATGCCCAAAAATACAAATAGAGGGCCGGCCCGGTGGCACACTCGGTAGAGTGCGGCGCTTGGGAGTGCGGCGGCGCTCCCGCTGAGGGTTCGGATCCCATATAGTAGACCGGTCCGCTCACTGGTTGAGCGCGGTGCGGGCACGACACCGAGGGTTGTGATCCTGTTGCCGGTCGCGGTACGGGCGCGACACCGAGGGTTGCGATCCCGTTACCGGTCACGAAAAAAGACAAAAAGGGAAAAATATATATATACAAATAGAGAGAGGAACATTGAAGCACTGTTTGTAATAGCAAAACACTGGAGACCACCGAAGACCATTAGTAAAGAACCTGTTAAATTACAGAATACCACTGAGAGTGAAAGTCAAGTAGAGCAATTATTGTCTCAAAGTTTTTGGTCTTGCTTAGGCTGCCCCTTTCCTGGTGCTGTGGATAAAGAGAGCAGGATTTTGCCGAAGCTTTTTTGTCTGTGTGTGATGATGCTTCTGGGTAGCTGGCTTCTTTAGCTTGGGATGTACGAGGCAAAAAACTAGGAAATCACTACTGTCTACTCCATATCCCCAAAAGCAGGAGTCTCTCAGAAGTATTATATTTAAAAAGCAAAATTTAAAATGTATAAAATGTGGTATATCCATACAGTGAAACACTATTAGACAATAAAAAGCAATGAAAGGGCCGGCCCAGTGGCGCACTGGATAGTGCACCGCTTGGGAGGCGCGGCAGCGCTGCCGCCCGAGGGTTCGGATCCCACATAC